CATGAGCATCAGTTGGCCCTACCCCATGGCCATTCCACACCAAAAGCCGGCATCATGAGCATCAGCTGCCCCTACCCTACGGCCCTTCCATGCGAAAAACCAGCGGGTCGCTCAGTGCTCTTATTACGCCTCTATTCATGAATGTTTTGAGGGGTAGGCGACGAAGATGGTACAAGATCAGCTCTGGCAAGGCCAGCACCAAAGAAGCCCTAGCTAGTAGCAGGATTTGGGGTCCAGGGCTTAAGTTGCGACAGTTGTTGCTATTGCGCCTTTCCCAGACTCCCTGGACTTTCCACACAATAGAATGTCAGAGCAGCACCGATCCCCAACCAGTGCTCCGTTTCATGAACTTCTCTCCAGATATCTTGCATGTAGGGTAGTACGAAGCGAGGTTATAGGCTTGAAATCAAACTTAGGCCTGCGGCACCCACAAGGTTCCGTACCAAGTGTATGTCATGTCTTGTTGAATCGGGTCCTGCTCCGGTTGCATGCTAGTTCAAAGAAGGGTCGCTCCACTGCTCCTACTTAAATTATGCATGAGCCTGCTACTGTATGAATCTGCACACGACGGGCAGTGGGGCAGGGACACCTTTCAAAACGGATGCTTTTGGGTGATGATTTTGGCCAACCACCAAACTGACCTCGAAACCCGGAATCTTGCAGTAACCCGCAACTCCACAGCCCTCAACCCAACCCAAAAGCAAGATCAACTAGCAGATCCCAAAGGCATTTGGTATAAAATGTTTGCATCAGCGAGCTGTACTATGCCATGACAGTTCGCAGTGTCGTGCATGGTCCCTATTGAAACTACAGGGATTATAGGGAGTTTATAGGGGCATAAAACCATCTTTGCGACCCCACATAGACTCGACCCCTGTCGAAAAGTCGGCATTTTGGATGGAGCCCCTTCCAGGTCCCTCGTTTTTGTCGGAGGGTGTGAAAGTTGGCCTTCTTAAAATGATCTCACTAGAGATTTGAAAAGGGACCTGCCTCATCCTTATGAACCCCAGAGTTCTCTCATAATCTCCCTACATAATCCTATAGTCCCTGTAGTTTCCATTTTCCTTTCCATTATCCCAATGTAACCCCTATATACACCCTATATAATCCCTATAATCCCCTGTAGTTTGCATTTTCTTTTCCATTATCCCAATGTAACCCCTATATACACCCTATATAATCCCTATAATCCCCTGTAGTTTCCATTTCCTTTTCCATTTTCCCAATATAACCCCAATATAACCCTAATAAAACCCCAATATAAACCCTAAACCATATATTATAACCCATTACAATATACTACAGTAGTGTCCACTTTCTTTTCCATTATTCCTATATAACCCCAATATACTACACGTATTGTGTTTAACTTCTCTGCGAGGCATGGAGGCTGAGCTAATGCTTCAAAATGCAGCACATTGCGCCTGGCGCACCGCCCGGCGACTGGGCTGTGGTACCTCTGAATTCTTGGTTTGGGTTGGGTCATTCCCCCTCCCAGTTCCTGTCCTTAAAGGGGCTTTATTAAGGGGGTTCTTAGAACTCCTATAACCCATTGTGGTAACAGTTACCGTAAGGGGGAATGACCCCAGGTTTGGGCCTGACCGAATTAAGGTTTGGGGATATTGAGGGTCCAGGGTTCATGTCGGGTTAAAGTTCATTAAAGGTTCAGGCTTCTTCAGGATTTAGGGAGCTTGCCCCAAGAAGCAGCATAATACATTATGGACCATGAGGGATCCTGGCTTTTTTTAGGATTTTTCAGGGGTCAGGGGAGGAATACTGGAGATCAGTTGTCTAGGGTGCTGGCAGTGATGATGCTTTGTACATGATTATGGGTTGGGTTTCTGGGCCTTGGAAACCCTAAATTCTAAACAGAAACCCTAAACCCGAACCCCTAAATGAAAGCTTAACAGATAGTGACCAGAGCAGCTCCTGTCACCCGGATCCTTGGTTGAGGACCCTAGCCAATTTCGTAGGAATCATATGCGGTATGGAAATATGGGCTTGTAAAGAGCTGAATGTTCTAAATCCCCCCCAAAAGTTTGGGCAATGGGGTGCCTCAAACCTGTTGGGGCTTAACGTCCCTGATGGGGTCTACCCATTCTGCAAAACAAAGGTGGAGCCTCAAACTGATTTGGTAGCCCTATCGACCCCAATCCCAAAACCCTACTAGTGTCCCTTCTGGCAGGGTATCCCCCATGTTTGTTTGCGCTTTTTCAAGCCTGAGCATGTCCATCAGTGAGTATACTGGGACTATACAGGGGATCATAGGGGCTTATTTATAGGGATAATGGAAAAGAAAATGGAAACTACTACTGAGGGTTTGCTGTAGGGTTTAAGGCTTAAGTGATAACTTACTGGACCTTGCAGCATCCCAAATCCCTCCAAACCTCCAAGCACTAGCCCCCTTGACTTACATGGAGGAATGGATCCCTGTTGTAGCACCGGCCCTGTTCAAACTAATTTTAGTAGTTCCAAGTTCATATTTCATTCGTTCATGCCTGTCTGAGAACCAGCAAGTTGAAGCATCCATCTAGAACTCCATATCCTGGTCCGCTACACCTATTACAGCCTCATACCATCCCCAACAAGGTCTTTTTATTTGTATCATGCCCATGTATGATGTGCGTCCCTGGGGTACCTCTACTCTGAGAAGGCTGATCTGACGTTTAACCCAGATAGCCATATGTCTTGGACTCCTGGTTGCTGCAAGAAGCATTTTCAAGCAGGTTGCAGTTGTATTGGATCTTACTCTAATGCTTCAACCCTAACATATGCGTGTGCAGAAGGCTGCCGACTTTTGTCACGTATTTGGGACCCCTCGTGGAGCAGTCACGTGTTACACACAGAGCCGTCATTTTGTGCGTGGATTTGTCCAAATAGTCCTTACAGTGCCCTTATTGTTTAGGAGTTCGCAGAAACCCTAAACCTCCTGCTGCATACGGCTTGAGCCCCACACTCGAATATCCTGAATCAAACCTATAAACCACATGCAGCCCCTATAATCCACTTAGGGGTCGTCCCTAAAGTCCCCCATACCTCCCTAGAAGGGAGACTACACGCCGTATATCCCCTATCCCTAAACCCTGCACTCTAACCCTATATGGTAGTTTCCCAAAATAAGGGGAACCTATTATAGACCCCAAAATACGATAATCCTTACTATGGGGACCCTCAAAATGGTACCCCTAATTTTGGGAGACCCCTAAAGCCTAAACCCCATATATCCCCTACAGAATCCCTACAATCCCTTTAAAGATACCCCTAATTTTGGGAGACCCCCAAATCCCCCTGAGCGGAACCATACGGAGCCCTAGGAGATGGGAGGGCTCCTTGCATCTGCTGCAGGAGATGGAGGTGGGATCTAGGGGATGTAGGGTTTAGGGGATTTCGGGTGTAGGATATAGGGTTTAAGGGATGGATTTTGGTGTTTTTGGGTGTAGGTTTCAGGGTTTAGGTTTTAGGGTTTAGGTTTCAGGGTTTAGGGGGCTCGGTTAGGGCAGCCTGAATAGTTATCAGTAACAGTCTACGGTCTATTCGAGGTACCCTGTACCCTAATGATGCAAGCATACAAGGAATCTGCCACAAAGCCTTTTTGCAATTGTTGCAGTAGGGATATGGGAGGTTCCCAACCTACCTCTATAGAATGTCTTACTGGTTATTAGTAGAGAGTGAGGGAATATAATCCCGAATCTCTATATGATATGTATATGTATATACATATATGTATACATCCTTCTTCCTTATAGAGAACCCATAAGATGTTTGGGACTCCCATCATTCCCTTATCATCTTCGGGCTCCTCGAGCCGCCACCTGAAACAATGCTTGCTCAGCGGTGGTAACATGTCAGACTATGTACTGAGATAGGTTCTATATAGAGTTTCATGTGAGCTCTCAAAGCTAAGAAACACTGTACCTCTTGAAGAGTTCAGAGACAGCCTGGGAACTTGTGAAGCGGCTTAGGGTTTGGAGTTTAGGGTTTGCAGGTACATTCCTACGGAAAGCAAGGCTCCTTTAACCGCTTTAGTGCTCCAATGCAAGCCCCATATTGCTCATCGAGCATATGAACCCCTGTGGAGTGCTACGCAGCAAGTCTCAGGACCTACAGTTTAGCCGTAACAATGTACGCAGTAGCAAGAGTGAGTAGGAGTAGGAGTAGTAATAGTGGTAGGAGGAGGAGTAGTAGCACAGCAGCAGTCGGCAAACCTTACAATCCAACACTAACTATGAGCGCATCAGTCTTTTCAACTCCTAATCAAGATTAGGACAAGCCTCATGCAACAAAATCACGAGCTCCAGCGAGCCCGGCCCACAGAGCATGGCGAAAAGAAGCGTTATTGCACGGGTGAAGTTAGGCCTTGTTTTGGAGCTTGTTTTTTGCAAGGAAGTAGATCATGTGCGATTCAAAAGGGGGGCTGGGGAAAGGCAACCCATCAAACAAGCGGTTCAGCTCGCAGGGTTCCAGACGGCCTGTTAATGGGAGACATGTAGGTAGGAAAATGCTCACACAGGCTTACTGCAGGCACTAAATCCCAACCCTTGCACCCTAGTTTATACTACGTAGTGTGGTGTCAAGTCTGCTGCAAACACCTTACACTGGGCTATTGCTGAACATGTTTTGCTCACCTCTATTGGACTAAATTCTACTAAAATGCAAATGAGGAACGTAAAGCTATGATTTTCACATGGTACTCCAGGCCCCCCAACAAGGAACAATTCTAGACCCTTAACCTGTGCAACACATCCCTACACCCGAAACTTACTGGCACTTAGTAGGAAGCCTATATAACCCCCATATAACACATTCCCTACCCTAAAGCCTAACCCCTTCGAAGAACCAGTAAGTAAATCGCCAGGAGACCTCTCTACAGCCTGATGCGGTTAGCTTTGAGGCGGCTGTCCAGGCCAGGGCACTGCGGACATGTCCGGGGTGAAGTGTAGGGTGTAGGGGTTTAACCCTGAACCCTAAACCTAGGGTTTAGCTTGTAGGCTTGAGGCTTTAGGGTTTAGGTGTAGGGTTTAGGGCTCTCAAAGGTGGGATGACAAGGTGGGATGAGGGTAGGTGGCTTAAATAATCCCATTGTAGACTCCATTACGCTTGCGGCTACATACCACGACGTGATTCAAGTTTGTGAGGATGTTCCGAAAGCAGTACTGTCGGAAAAGGTAATGAGATCCTGAGATTTGGGGTGAAGGAGCTAAGGTTTAGGGCTGAGCATTTGGTGTGTGGGTGTGTATGCGTGTATGTGTTGCAGGATTTATGTAGGGCTCCTGGCATCCTGATAGTCTCGGCTGTGAGACGGCTCAGGGTTTGCATGTAGGGCTTGTGGAACGGGGTTGTGACATGTCTTAACAATCTTAACCCTGCGGCTGATGTTTTAAACGTTAAACCCCGAAAGCCTGGCCTTTGGTTAGCTAGGAGTGAAGGAGTGGATCCTTATAGTAGTCTCTATGATAGAGTCCATTCTAGATTTTCCATTCCTGCGTCCCCAGCTAACCAAGGGCCAGGAAACCTTAAACCCTAAAACTCTAAACCATAAGCCCTAAACCTCTTTTTTAAACATTACACCCCGAAAGAAAGCCAGACCTGCGAGCTCGGCGGCGAACCCGGGCCAGCAGCGCTGATTCTCGGGCTCTGCCACTCGCGCGCCTGGCTTTTGGGCAGGCTGAGCGTTTAGGGGTGCGGGTCTAGGGTAGGGGGCTAAGGGTTTAGGGTTTAGGGGGCTTATAGGTACAGGGCAAAAGGTTTACGGGCTGAGTGCTAGTAGGCTAGGGGCCCATGACCTGTCAAAGCTTCAATTCAATTGTGTGTCTCTTTACAATTGTTGGTATCTAGAATTCCTGCTGATTCTACGTCAGCATTTACTTCGTCATTCCAACATGACCCCATATTGTCTAACCCTTCCCTTTGGCTCTAGCGGTCTTGGGCTGAGAGAACTTTGTATGTGGGGTCATAGCTCCTGTCTACGTTGAGCCTAGGGCCTAGAGTGAAAGCCCTTTATTTCTGGTTAGCACGGAATGAAGAACTGGAAAAGGAAATGGACACTATTGTATTATTGGTCTCTGTAAGGATCAAATCCTTCATTCCTTGCCAACAAGAAGTAGGTCAAGACATTTGCCAATGGCATTGTGCGAGCCCTGCGCAGTCAAGACGCCCGCCCGAACGAAGCAGTGTTTCTTGGTGGGAATAATGGAAGTTTGTGTTTACTCCAGGGGGCTCATGAAGGGGTTCTGCATGTACCTGGTGTTGACTTGTTTTGCTTGTTGTCGCTCCTAGCTCCTGCAAGGCCAAAGTGAGCGCGATGGTTCCAGCTGCAGAAAAAACTGTGAGTCGGCGCGGATCCTGCGAAGAAAGTTTACATTGCCTTTATTTTTACCGGCATATTGTCATTGTGATTTCGCCATGCTGACGTACCAGCAGGGTTCCAGGTGCGTGGTGTTTTAGGTGGGTACTTTCATAGAAGACCTACATAATGAGCTTCATATAACCCCAATACCCTTGTACAAGTATTGTATGAGTTGTTTAGGCTGATACCTTGTACGTGCCCACCAGGACTGCTCATTGATGCTAAGCCCTAAACTCCTAATTCCGCCCAACCTAGCAAATAAAACTCTCAACTCAAACCTACTGGATCTACACGGTGGTGCGTTGCTGTAGCCCACATAATATCTACGATAAGTGTAGTTTCTTCGTGTACAGGTCTTTATATCGCCAGGTAGCCTTTACTGCTTGAAGCAGTAGATACTACCTGGCAATATTACAATGGAACAGCTGCAGTGGATCTTTCAAGACAGCGGTATCCTCAGCGCACCTAGGAGAAGAAAATACTAGCCCGTTCTAGACCACTCAGGCCGGACGCGCAGCTTGTTTCGGGGCCCGGCACTTGGATTCTGCAGGTGGGAGAGCATTCCTCCGCAAGTACGTCCGCGCGTACGTCCGCGCGTACAAACTGCCAGATGTGGTGGAAGGGTGCCCCTGATTTCGAGGCACCCTGAATTGTGGGCATTCGAGTGTTGTGCGTTGAGAATTTACGGTTTACTGTGGTGCATGTAACAGTTAAATGTTGCTTCAACTGAGTGGTTTGCGCTCAGCGATTAGCGGACGTTGTACTACTTCAAAAAGTGGATGTGCAGCTGACATGGCGCATAGGCACATAGGTCTTGGCGGCGACAGTGCATTAGAAAAATCAGGGTCCTGAAGCAGTGATATGAACAAGAGCGTTTGGGGCTGAGGGACTCGCCTCAGGGTCGCAGGGTCGAAAGCGCAAACAGCAGGTTCAGGAAGAACACATCGGCGGCAACAGGGGCGTATATAGCTCAATTTCTGGGAGTCCTTCCGCTGATTTCATATCAAGCCAACTTGAAAGCATAGACCCACATTTCCTGAAAACAGCCCCCTATATCCCTCATGAAAGGGAACTATAGTAACCCTGCTAAAACGCACATAGTCGTCGCAGATGCGAAGGAAATCTCCCAGTCCAAGCACGGTTGCCTTGTTTCAAGGAGCCCTTCCAGGAGTATAGTCCCAGTTGGGTAGATAGAAAATGGCTTTGGGTAAATCATAATAAGATCCTCACATACCCCATATTCTATCTACTTGGGGGCTAATTACTACAGCCAGTTTATTGTTTCTTAGATTGGCAAATCATGTCCCAGTACAAGGCCATGGCAACCCTTCGAGTCAATCCACAGAACACACTCACCGGTCAACACCCCCAAACCATGCACATTCTCAACCGAAAAGCTCCCGTCCCACATCCTGACCCTATCCCAAACTCCAAGTCCTGATCCTGAGACTCTGCAAGCCCTCGACCCCAAGACCCAACGCCTACGCAGAACAAGCGGTTTGCAGAAGTAGTATGGCCTTCTCCCGTGCCTATGGATTCTCTTCTGGTGAAGATGCCTTGTTGGGCAAGAGGCTGTCTGAGGCCCCACAGCGGACTTGCCAGGGACTGAAGGATGCATTCGGGCTTGAGGTAGCTTTTGTGGCATCAGGGTTCGATGGTGCTTGACAGACTGGGTCCCACTTTTGCAAGGCTAGATTTTGTGATCAACTTGAATGTTGTCAGTTTTTCAATGGCTGAGTGGGTAACCTTCACAGAAAGGCCACCCAGTCGCCTAGTCCCTTGACGTACTTTAGTGTCCGCCACTCCTGTCTGGAGATGCGGTCCCTGACCTACGTAGCAGTATCATTGTCCCGGGTGCCAGGTCACTAAAGTATGGAAGACACATTCCTACAAGGCCCCTAGAATTGATCCTCCTGAGTTGAGGGCTTGGAGTCTTTGATTCATGCGCACAACTAGGCTGGGGGTATCCCATCAAAAGGCTTGAAGAACCCTATCACTGGTTCAGCGTTAAGGATCATGCTTTTTGGTGGGGACGGGCTTCTTATCCAACGAAGAGCTTCACATTTTTTGGCGGCATGGTTTGCCTACTACAATTACAACAAGGATCCCTTTTCTGCCTACGGGAAGAGTTAGGTGTCAAGTATCAATGGTCCTGCCTAGTCCCGACCGTCGACTTCAAGCGCTCTTGATAAACCGAACCCAGAGTCCCACTGAACGTCTTCAGCCGGTTTCAGCCAAACATAGGGTTTAGGGCAGTTTGGGGTTAAGCAAAGCATCAGAGAAGCATGCCGGTGTTGTTCGTCCCTCAAGCCTTCACCAGGGCCCTAGGTCACACAATCCCACAAACATCAAGAATTCTGGAATGCCTATGGGGCCGCCCACGATGTTCCGGGGCCCACTCACACTTCCTGGGCACCAATTCTCGCAGCCTAGCACACCCGCATATGAGACATTTTGACGCTGCTCAGACCGAAGCCGACTTGGTTTTGTGGCTCATGCTTGTTAGTTCGAACCCCTCCTGCCTCCTGGAGATCCACGGGGCTAAAAGCTTCGGGTTTAGGATTTAGACCCCGAGACTCCCCCAACCTCTCCGCGTCAGGCCATCTCCGCCAGCGCTCAGGGCGGAGACGAGTCCAACCAGGCACCAGAGCCTGCATCAATGAACGAGAAACAAATGAAAGAGAGGGCACTGGACGGCTAAAAGGGATTTTGTCGGATTGTCTAAGGGCACATGTATGCCATGATATGCCATGGGAAGCTTGGCAAAATCATGTGCAGTTTGTTTGTGGACACTTTGCACAGAAGATTGCGTAGACATACGCTACATCGGATTTCTGCAACCCTGAAGCCAAATAGGAAGAGGGATTTTCAGAATCAAAAAAGTAGTTTCCCTAAACAGGGGGACCCGGATATAATGTTACCGTGACATTAATAACCACCCCCCCCCAGAACTTGTTTTGCGATTTGGGCTTCCGGAGGGGTAGGACCAGGTAGTGCTGCTCGTAATACTAGAAGGACAAGTAGAAGGGTATCCATTAAAATCGGGACGTTTCCGGCCGGACAATATTGTTATTGCCACCCGTTTATTATTGCGATTTGGACTTAAGTAGACGTTGTCGGGCTCAAAACTTGTTAGCAAGGAAATTTGATTGTACGGGATTTTTCCGTCCCGGCAACTCAATGCTATTGTCCCCCCCTTTATTAATGCTATCTCAACATTAACTCCCCTGATACATGCCCAAGAAGCCT